TGGTTTTACGTCCAAGAACGGCTTAAACGCCCTCTATGGGTCGGGGATAGGCTTCCCATCCAGTTTTCTTAGAAACCGTCAAACAAGATCTTTTTTATCAGATTCCTAAGACTATGTCGAACATGTTTTTTATGGAATAATGGTCATAAATCATGAATTGCATGATGCACATCTCTATTAGGATGCGTCTCAAGAGTCAATAAAAGATTATATAAAAACCCCTTACTCAAGCCATCCTTAATGAATAGTATTTTATCTTCATAATTTACAGATATCATTCCTAAAGATCGACATTGTGCATTGCAAGTCCATCTGGCACATCGATGGTAGACTTTCAATCTTTTTGCATGACGTTTCTTTGTAAAAGTGCTTTTGCTTGTTCCAGGCTTGTGTGAAATGAAAGAATTGGAAGATTCACCTGATAATCGGACCTTTGCTTTAATTAGCCAGTGAATCTCTTCAGGAATTACATGGTTCATTAACAACCTTAATCTTGCACATGTAGCTCGGTAAATTTTTGTAATCACATTTTGAGATAAAATAGGGAAATACTTTTTCTATTTTTCAAGAGTAGTGTCTATTTTTTAAGATGAGAAGCGAAAAAGAGATGCAAAGAGAAGAGAAGCAACAAGGAATTGAACAAATATATACACAAATATAAGTTATAGGAAACTGAAAGAATCGACTTACAAGTCACGGAGTGAGAAAGACTTAAAAACATTATCATTCTTTGGATTCTTAATATCAAAAGCCATATGAGGACACACATGTTTCTCAAAAAAGGGATTGTTACATCTTAATCTTAGCTCTCCAGGGAATAAATAGAGTTGAGAATTATAAAGAAAAACTTTTTAACTAGTATCAACTTTTTGATAATTTTCACAAGTTTTGCAAAATGCATGCGTGTCCTTGAATATGGGGGGCTAATAAAATCCATTTTGAAAGATTATTACAGCTGTTTTTTTATGAGAAATGACTCCTACATGTTTCAGAATAACAAAGTTTAATGACACTACTTACCTTATTATCAGGAAGGCATCTTTGAAATATTTGATCAGGATAATATTTAAATAAGTTAGGGTCATCCCAATAAAAGATCTTCACTTCGTTCAAAAACTTTCCTTCGTCTTGGGTACTCCAATGAGTTGAAAAATCTCTTGAAGCAAGAAAATTGATATTTTTATCATACCAAGGCATTGGACTAAGAAAAAGTAAGGATTCGTTAGGAAAGTAATCATCAATTGGTGTGATGTCGGATGTCGAATCTGTTATCACTCTTAACAAAAGATTCGCATCAATATTTTTGGTGCCTTTTTCATCCGTGATTTCTTCCTAAGAATAAATCATTTGCAAATCTTCAAATTCATCCAACTCATTTTTACTTAGAGTAGATTAAAGTTGATCATAAACTAATTCCTCAATATGATATACTTGTAATTCATTATCATCTCCAGGTTACTTACAAATGTTGAAAATATCCATCTCCAATGTCATGTTTCCAAATAAGAGCTTTATCAGTACATTCATATAATTAATCAATACATTAGAAGTTGCAAAAAAAGACATCCTAAAATAACAGGAAATGAATTACATGTTTCAATAGGTTGTGTGTCCAAGACAATAAAATCCACAAGATAAATGAATTGATTGACTTGTACTAACACATCTTCAACTATTCCTTTAGGTACTTTTACAGATCTATCAGCAAGTAAGAGAGTTACGGATGTTGGTTTTAACTCACCTAGATTGAGATTCTGAAAGACTGCATATGGAGGTAAATTCACACTAGCTCCAAGATCAAGTAAAGCTCTTTTAATTTTATATTCTCCAATAAAGCAAGAAATTATAGGACAACTAAGGCCTTTATATTTCAAAGCATTATTGTTCTAAAGAATGGCACTTACTTGTTCGGCTAAAAAGACTTTCTTTTTCACATTCAGTTTTTTCTTTACAGTGCACAAATCTTTCAAAAATTTAGTATAAGAAGAAACCTATTTAATAACATCCAGCAAAGGTATATTGATCCTTACCTGTTTGAAAGTTTCAAAGATTTTAGATTTGTGATTGACTTTCCTTTGTTTGGTCATAGCATGAGGAAATGGAAGTGCTGGTAGGGAATCAGTCTTTTCTTTGTAATATTTAGATTAGACCTCTTCTTTACCCTCAGAGATTGACTCATCATCTTTCTCACAAGGTTCAAGAGTGAGTTTTTTTTATAACCTTACCATTGCGAAGAGTAGTGACTGATTTGACTTAATCCAAGTGTTGGCTTCCAGAACTACTTGCATTTACATTGTATTGCCCTTTGGAATTTTGTTGTGGTTAAGATGGAAACTTACCTTTCTGTTGGAAACTAAGAGTAGATGTGAATTTTGCAAGAGTATCTTTAAAATATGTTATGCTTTGAGCAAGTTGAGTGTTGATTGTCTCTTGCTTTTCAATGAATGCATACAAAGTTTCCTTAAGATTTCTTCTAGGAGAGGGAACATAAAGATGTGCATATCTATGAGAATTTTGAAAATTATGGTGTGCTTGAAATGGTGGCTATGAAGTTTGTGCATTATTAATATCACTTTTCCAACTAAAATTTGAGTGATTTCTCTAACCAAGATTATATGTTTGCAAGTATAGGTTATGATTGGGCCTTTAAAAACTGTTTAAAGCATGGGTTTGTTCATGAAGACAATCCTTAAAAGAAGATAAAGTTAGACAGTCATTGATTGAGTGCTCATTTGTTTCACAGATTTGACACACAATGTTTTCAACAGATTTTAATTGACCACTCTTTTTCAATTCTAGTGCCTCGACTTTTCTAGCTAAAGATGCAAACTTGGCTTGAAGGTCATGATCTTCCCTAAGGTTGTACATACCTCCACTAGATGTATGAGGTTGAGTTTTACTCGATGCCTCATAAGTACCCACAGTGTCTCAATTTTGAGCATTTTCAGCTAACAAGTCTAAGTACTCCATTGCTTCATCAGGGTCTTTATCTTCAAAAGTTCCATTGCACATCAATTCAACCATTTGCCTATCTTTAGGTGTTAACCCTTCATAGAAATGTGAAACCAATCTCCATGTTTCAAAACCATGATGAGGGCAAGTACTAAGCAAGTCTCGATACCTATCCCAACATTGGTAGGTGTTAAAAGAGTTTGTTGAAATGTTTCTCCTGGTTTTTAAGTGAAAATGGTGATTTGTCTTTTGAAAGAGTTTGTTCTATGAGAAAGGAAAAACTTCTTTAAAAACTGTTGTTGCATTTCATCTCAAGCACAAAAGGATCGTGGTCTCAAATTTTGAGCAATGTATTAACTTTATCTTTTAATAAAAAAGGAAAAAGTTTTAATCTGATGGTGTTCATGCTACAATTTGAGTCATTATAGGTGTTACAGACCTCCTCAAATTCTTTTAAATGCAAGTATGGATTTTCTAAATTTAAGGCATGAAAAGAAGGTAGCAGTTGAATAATGCCTAGCTTAAAATTAAAATAAGATGCATTAGGGGGGGAAACTATTGATGATGATGCACTTATTCTTGTGGGATTCATGTGGTCTCTAAGTGTTCTAACACGGTTATTCTTATTATTTTCATTATGAAGTGACTGGTTATCTTCTTCGGTCATATTTTATGAAAATTATGAGGATACCCTATAAAGTCTACCACTTAATGTACGTGACTACACACTCATGCATGCGTAGGAATGGAATAAAAGGAAGAAGAAAACAAAATGATATGTTATTATAAAACATGTTTTAGTTAAGGAGTTATTGATACTTTAAGTGCAAAATGATAATATAAAATCTTGATAAAAATGTGCTTTTAAGTACTAATCACATGTCGATGTGAAGGGAAAACAAACTTACATTGAAAGATCATTCTTCCACTAAGATTCATACTTTTGGGTAAATAGATCCCATTGTGAGTGGACCCTTCTTTAACATAGTGGTATCGCACCCAACAAGCCCACATCATGAGTAGATGCCTGTTTCTCAAATGTCTATTCTTGGTTGGCACCTAAAGACTCATGGTCGTTGGAAGCGTTGCTAGAAGAATTAGCATCAATCTTGTTTGTACGTGTTATTGACTAGGCATCTACTCATATTAAACAATTATGGTACTGTAAACCATTCCTATTTTAAAAACAATTAGTAGCACTTTCTCTACACCACTCAAAATACAACAATTTAAATTGGATCGTCACAAACTAGTTGATTTTATTTCAATTTATTTCAATTGAATAATTTGAATTATGTTAATTTAACTAAAATTTTAATTAATTTTGCTTTGACCATTTATGAAATGATCATAAAAGGTTAATATAAACACATTAAAGGATTTGTAGTATCATTATTTCACATTAAAAACTATTCATTTATCCTAGCTATTATCTTAGCTATTTTTAATTTTTTTCATTTATGATGGCTACTATTTTTTTTTTCAAAATTAAAAATTGTGTTAACACCAACAAATCAATTAGCTAACAATACCAATAAGAGAAAATTAAAAAAATTCCAACAATCTATATACAATCATTAAAGAACATCAAAATTCAAAAAACGAATTCCAACAATCTATATACAATCATTAAATAAAAACATTTAAAACAATTAAAAAAATTCCACCAATCTATATACAATCATTAAAGAACATAAACATTTTAAAAATTTCCAGCAATGTTTATACAATTATTAATAACAAAAAAATAAAAACATTGCCATCAACATTTATACAACTATTTATTACAAAAAAAAATTAAAAATAAAAAAATTTCCAGCAACATTTATACAATTATTTTTAACAGAATAATTAAAAACAATTTCCATTAACATATATATAATTATTAATAACATAAGAAATAAAAAAAAACCCCCTAACATTTATTCAATTCTTAATAATAGAAAAATAAAAAAACAAATGAAAAAAAAAATCTTACCTTCATGTTGAGTTTTCCTAAGCTAAAAGAGAAAAATAATCCAAATAAATTATTAAATAAATAGATAAGTAGAGAAGGGGAAGAGAAGAGAAGATATACTTGCGCATGGAGAAGAAGAGAAGAAAAGATAATGAGTTGAGGATAGAAGGAGAGAGAGACAAGAGAGAGAAAGATTAAGATTTGGGAGGATGAGAGAAAAAGTTGTAGAGGAAGAGAAAAGAAATGTGACAGTTTATTCTGATTTTAGAAATTTTAATATTTCAATTAACTTTTTTTTATCAATGGTTTTATCAATAACATTTTAAAAATTAATATTTTTAATTTTTTCATCGGTGCATCCATTTGTAAAGTTTGATTGAAACTTTTAATTTAATCAAAAATCTTAAAAAACTTGCCAACTATCACTAACTACTTTTTTTATTTGTCAATGATTCTGTATGTACTAATTAGTAATAAATAGTGCAAGCGAAAAGTGAATAGTACTTTATCTCTTAGGAAAATATCGACAAACATTCATTGTCAATGATTTGGTATGTATTGAACACAATGAACAATGCTACTTAGAAGGGAACAATTTCAATACTCTCTGGAATATACCGATAAACTTAATTCGTCGGTGTATTTATTTGTATTTTATAAGTTTGTTGCTATTTCCATAATGCAAAACAATTTTTGTTGTCAGACTGTATTTGTATTCCTTATGTATCCATCCTGCAAATATTTAAAATCACAGCAACACATATATCACA